TGCCGAGCACACGACCCGTGGTCCGAAAGACCGTCTGCCGTTCTCCACATCCCTTCTTCAGCGGCATGCCAACACATTTGCTGTGGGACTTGGAAGGCCAGGTCCACAGTGTTGGTAAGACGCCTGGGTGTTTTGGCATCGTATATCAAACAGTGGGCGGAAACCTGAGGAATGTCAAACTACCACAGCCCTTGAGCTTCATTTCAGCGCATTCCAAAATGCTCCCGAGGCTGAGTACGAGTACTCAGCAGCGGGAGCATATCACTATCCACAAAAAGAAGGAATAGAGGGTTGAGGTAAGTTGCAACACAATGGTTCACCTGTGTGATAGCGCATGTGCACTGCCAAGCTGACTTTCGAAGAAAACATCGCTCCACATGTGTCACATCGAAAACTTTTCGTAGAGCAGTGAAATGACTGAAAAAAAACAGAAATGCCATAAATGAAAGAGTAATATCAATGTTACAAAATAACAGGAATGGAGTACCGTTATATGGGCTTCACAAGCACTTTTGGTTTGAAACATCTTGTTACAAAAAGGGCACTTGCAAGGAGATGGAGAAACCCAACCTTCTGAAAAATGTAGGCAAAAAGAAATAGAAGACACAAAAGAGATTGATGCCAATAATGTGTGAAGCGTAGTTCGACTTGGTGGGGGCACCGAATGGTACTCAGTGCGGCCTTTACAGGCTATCTTGTAGAGAAGTGTAAATTCTTGAAGCCAAAGTGGCTCGGTGCCATTTCGCAGCTTCACGAGAGTTTGTGGTCTTCAGTAAAGTGAAACCTGGCAGTCAACACCAACTAACAAAACAAGATGCTTCCCCCCCCAGAGCCGAACAGCTCTAATGTGTAATATCAAAGGGTTTCTGAGCTTCATTGTATTGCAAGACTTCTGTTTGATTCATAAATGAATTTATTCCAAGTCGTTTATCCCTTGACTACGTTTCGGGCTTTAGGCCCTTCTTCAGGTCGACAAAACATCATATACAGGGGGGGGGCAAAAAAAGTCATTTCGACCGAGTCACATATCAGCAAAGTTTTCGCTGCCCAGACAGAGGACGTGGATACGAGTACCAGGGCGGAAGATACCCAAGATGTTCCTCTATAAGCAGGAGCTGGCTCTCGCCCATCACCTTCATGTACACCAAAATATGAAGTCATCTCCAGTCGCAGCCTGACTGGAGAAGACCTCCAAACAGCTGCGAAACTTCTAGTATGGAGTCACCCATGGATAGCTACCTGGAGACCAGTACTCTCGATCTGGATGACCTCCAACATCGAGCAGCTCCGACAACGTCGCCACGGTCTAGGACATCATCTTCACCGCAGTCGCCAAGGCGCGGGTTGGGTATGGACCGGACGTACCTGGAATGGAAAGACCAATATTTTCTTCGTGGACCCCGGACTGAAGGTGAGCGCTGGCGGTTACATTGGGCAACTCGTGAAGAATATCCTCCTCACATGTGGTCGCCCGTACCTTCTTGGAAACTTTGTACTGCTACAGCATTGGCACCACATGAAATCAAAGGGCGTTGGAAAAACTCTCTCCTACTTGGGATGGAAGGGCGAGTTCCTGAAAAATGGAATATCCAAGTAGGTCACCTGACCTGAATCCCCTCAATTACCCGGTTTCGGGCGGAGTTCAGGGTGGTCTACGGTGGCGGAGAAATCGACTATCTCGCTGATCTCAGGCACCACATCGCGGTCGCGTGCCAGAATCTCTCGATGGCGCTCGTCCAGAAGGCTGTGGCGGAGTGTCATGATAGTATTTGATATGCTCTTTAATATGGTGGTAAAAATGTCCGATCAGAATTCAATAAAGTGTAACTTATAGCGCCTCGAAAGTCAATGAAGCAAAGTGACTTTTTTGCCCCCCCCCCCTATGTTCACATAGCCTACACCAACAACAATCCACTATAGGCGTACATCGCAGAATATTCGAAGAGGGAAAAACAATCATTTAGCAATTGACGGACTTCCTACGGGAAGGAGGGCCTGGGCGTAGTGAGTCTGGGATGGAGTGGGTCGGGATCGCTGCAAGATGGTTCACTGATGAACGAAAACCAGAGATACGCGACATTGACTTCTCCCCAGCTGTCCTTTCCTATAGAAATGAGAGAGCTAGATTGGCGAAGCAGTGGTAAGATGGTAGTAGTTGGTACCCTGCTATTTGTCATATGTGAGGATATCAAGTACTACCATCTTACCAACTTGTTACCATCTTACCACTGCTTCGCCAATCTAGCTGTCTCATTTCTATAGGAAAGGACAGCTGGGGAGGTAAGTCAATGTCGCGTATCTCTGGTTTTCGTCCATCAGTGAACCATCTTGCAGCGATCCCGACCCACTCCATCCCGGACTCACTACGCCCAGGCCCTCCTTCCCGTAGGAAGTCCGTCAGTTGTTAAATTTTCCTCTTCGAATATTCTGCGATGTACGCCTATAGTGGATTGATGTTGGTGTAGGCTATGTGAACATATATGATGTTTTGTAGACCTGAAGAAGGGCTTAAGGCCCGAAACGTAGTCAAGAGATAAACGACTTGGAAGAGTTTCATTTATGAATCAAACAGAAGCTCTAATGTGTGTTGGAAAAAGGGTGATATAAGGGCTGTTCTAAATGAACGCTAGTGGAAGCTAATACAAACAGACAAAAAAATGAACAAACCATCAGGATAGTTTTGCTCAGTAGGAGTTTTGACTATTTTGAAGTGGAGAATATTTTCACCAATCATTAACGTGAACTTCTCAAGTGGTCCCCGTCGACTTGTTCCCGAAAAACCCTTAAAAAATACATTATTGTACGGGTGTCATCTCGATACCCAGAAAAGAAGGGCGGCAAACAGAAAGAGATACCTGTGCTCCTTCTTGGTCAGGAACAGTGTTGATCAAATCACTATCTACAAATTCATATTTACTGAATATCAGTATCTTATCATAGTAATGAAGATTACCCTGAAAGCTAGATGTTGAAGGTTCATCGTAGAGAGTTTGACAGGGAAACGTAGCCTCTTTCTGAAGCCCATGAGGTGTTCTGAAGTGAAAAACGCTTCTATCAGTGATCAACAGAGAGATATTTCCAGCACGAAAACAGAAATAAGTATGGCTGCGGGCAAATCGGACAAACTACACTGGTCGTTTTGACAGCATTTTCCACCGTCACCCTTTCATCGAAGAGGTAGGGGGCTAGCTCGATCCCAAGTTCATTGGGAAGCAAGGGAGCTGCAAGTTGGAATACTGTGACCCCACCCCTGTGATGGGGTTCCAGATCGCAAAGTGTGGGCATCGTTCCAAGACATTTACGGGCGCGTTCAGACTTCGCGATCGCGCGATCACGAGTTCTGAACCTCTATTTTTGATGGGGTCAGTGCATAGGAGCTGTGCCCATGATTTCCAAAGAAAAGATGAAAAGACACCATGACTAGACAGAGCCAAGGTTCTATTGTCGAGGAATGATAAAACCACTTTTTCTCGAAGGAATCGGTCCACTCAAATGGGATCTCCCCCTCTCACGCTCAGGAAGAATTTCCATCGGGGCACTTCGTAATCCTATAGGGGTCCACAGCAAGAGGCCGTATTCAGTAGCTGGAGGAAAGGGGTACTCGTAACCGCCTTTGAGGAAGATGCTTTTCGGTTGCTGACGTTTTTAGCTTTTTTTCGTTACGTGCGCTCTATACGCCCATCCCACTCGGATGGACGGCAGTTCTTTCAAGGAAACTTCAGAAAAAAAACTCCAGAAAAGCGGTTTGGAAGATAATTCCATAGTAGTGGAAGTCTGAGAAGTTACGGCGCTAAAGTAGAGCCGGTGGATGCGGGATCGGAAACGGGGCCAAGTACCAGACGGAGATGATCTTCGAAGAGGAAGTGTTTATGGCAAAACCCGTTTCCCTTCCCTAACGCCGCTCCCTGGTGCTCCATCGCCCTGGAATAAGAAACAATTTCATCGAATGAAAGCAAGAATCAAGAGACTAGATCCAATAGGATTGGCATAGAAATAGCGCGAAATAATAATCAGCAATAACGACAAATGGCGACCGCTTTCTTTTCTGGAGGTAGCCGTTAGCCAACTCACCTGCATAGCCTTCGATTCGACGCAGCTACCATACCTGCGCGCATTCCTTCAACTACCATGGCCAAGGCTTGCTATCGCATGTGAGCGAAGTGGTGGTGAACGCTCTTCGATCGCCATATTCGGCACACACTTACCCACAACCCACAGAGCAGGCCTCAACGCACATTCTTCCGTACTGGTATAGATTAGGCGAAACGGAACAAATTCAACAATTAAATACTTTAGGCACCCCGCGCCGGGTGAGGGGCTATTTTGGGCTACTTTGCTTCCTTTGTCCTACGTGTCGAGGCCAAACACTGAACGACTCTGAAAAGTGTTGAGCAGCTCGTGAAAAAAACAAATTTCTGAGACGTTTGTTAGGCTCTGGCCTTCTCAGCTCCTCCTGTCATCGGCAACGGAATACCACTACCAATTACATTCCGTGGTGGCTCGATAGGCTTGCTCGTGGCTTGAAGGGAGTTCACAGGTAACCACCACGGATGAAACTTCGTACAGCCGAAACAGCCACCACGCCACCCCCACCCACCGGCGCCGACGAAAATGCAAAATGCCCTGTCCCGGTCGCAGACTGCGCCAATCTCTCTCTTTGAAAAAAAAAACAACCACACAGCTCTTTCATATCTCGAAGCCTTCATCATTGAAGAGCACCGGGCTCGAAAAAGACGTCAGCGATATAGGCGGCTCAGCCACGTCTTCTGTTTCCATGCCTAATCCTGCAATTCAAAAACCTCTGTAATAACGCTCACTTTACCACATTCTAATGGAACAAACGTTGGAGAACCTCACGAGGCCGAAAAAGGCATTAGCACAACGGGGCCATTTTGTCATAGGAGGAGCTGTTAAAAGTACGACAAGAGAATCGTGATTCGCCGCGCCGGTAGGCGTCGCGTGCGACGTCGCGCTCGCAAAATAACGATGTTTCTAGGTGGTCGATGGCGACAACAGACGACGGGACGTGCAAGCAAAAAAATGCCATGCACGTCTACTATGTCGTAGTCAACTTGAAAGCCGGCGCATCAATCGACATGATAATGTAAATTAAGGAAACGCCGCACGTAGCCGCAAGCGACAACGCGGCGATTACGATTGTCTTGACCGTCCACCAGTTCAATAGACCGGGTCATCATAAAAAAATACTGTAAAGACAACTACGGAGATTAACCAGTCCCTAAGGAATGAGAAAACCACTCAAAGCCATTGGATCACAACCCTGGAGCGAATTCCTCCTCAGACTTGAGCAATATCTCCACCGTCTCCGCTCATAATCGTTCGTTCGCACATTTTTAGCATTATATGCCGCCCAATAAAGAATTGAAGAGATGAAGATGATCCAGCAGCCTCAGCAGTGTATTTTCAGCTTTTTACGGAATGGCTTGATATATTGAACAGGCACCACATCTACCGCCATGCTCTACAAAAGAGAGAAACTTAGTCTTGCGACGAGCCAAAGAAATGGAACTCAATTTCCTTGTCAAGTGCATCAAAACGAGGATCAAATAGGTGCGGCGAATATCCAATAAGTCCACCCGAAGACGCTACATGACAACGTTTTCATGAAAACCCCCACACAATAAAAAATTCACTCAACCCCACATCGTTAAAGCGAAGACTCTAAACTTTAGCAAACCAATGCCCATCCCAGCCTCCAAAAACCATAGTGGGGCGAATCGCGCTCGATTTCTTTTCCTTTGCCACCTGCTCCAGCTGTCTCTGCCAGGCAACTTGTGCTCAAATACCACAGTATAGGAGAGAAAGTCAAACGAAGAAAAGCCAACTCATAAGATTCCTGCAGAACCGCTCATCCATCAATCGACGCTTTTATTGTATTGGAGTAGAACATATGTCCAACAGACATTCGTACCTATCAAAAAGAAAGGGAGAACGAAAGACTTCCACACGAATATCGCTGCAATAGTTCGGTAGACATCTGCCCTGAAAGGGCAACAGTTCCTTTCAGCGCGCGCTGCTGCGTCGCGGTGATGGTCAGTGGAGCTCGTCAGGCTACACTGGCTCTGGGAGGCGGTCGGATGGCGTGCCCGCCAGCTGTCAAATGTTTCTGGGACGCTGCTGGCCGTAATTGCCACCTCCAATGAGCCTCTGCAGCCGCTCTCTTGGATCAGATAACTTGTCCACAAGCCGCATATCACACTGCCTCATAATCTATCGACCTACACCGGCAAGGCTAATGCCGTTTGGACTCCAGCAATTTCGGCACCGAGCTCA